CTAGGATTGGGACTGGAGTCGGTTTCCTATTTCTGATAGTTTGCTTGCACTTCTTATGAAAATCTTTCATTGTCATGGTAACAAAAACACAGGTCTACAGGTAATAACAACGAGAACAGGACTAAACTAAACTGATTATGGGTGTCTCAAGCACTGGCATGCTGCCATGCTTACAGCACAACTATGTGACCCATCGGTGCAAACAGCGATAAGCAAACAATAACAGGTTGTGTTTTGTGTGAAGTTGTATTCGCTACGGTAATATTTTCATGTTATAATAAATCTGACTATAAACCGAAAGAAGGTACAAGCTCAGATAGGTAACACAGGAAGAGACATTTCTAGCAGGTCAAGGGAGGGGATTCTGCCCCTCTTCTCCGCCCAGGTGAGAGCCCACCTGGAGTCCTGCGTCCAGCTCCGGAGCCCTCAGCACAGGACAGACATGGATCTGTGCGAGCGGGGCCAGAGGAGGCCAGAAAGATGATGCGAGGGCTGGAGCATCTCTGCTGTGAGGAAAGGCTGAGAGAGTTGGAGCTGTTCAGCCTGGAGAAGAGAAGGTTCCAGAAGACTTTATTGCAGCCTTCCAGTACCTGAAGGGAACTTAGAAGAAAGATGGGGACAGGATTTTTAGCAGGGCCTGTAGCGACAGGACAAGGGGTAAAGGTTTTAATGTAAAAGAGGGTAGATTTAGAGTGGGTATAAGGAAGAAATGTATTACAATGAGGGTGGTGAAACACTGGCACAGGTTGCCCAGAGAGGTAGTGGAGGCCCCATCCCTGGAAACATTCAAGGTCAAGCTGGATGGGACTCTGAGGAACCTGATCAAGTTGAAGATGTCCCTGCTCACTGCAAGTGGGTTTGACGAGATGGTCTTAAAAGGTCCTTTCCAACCCAAGGCATTATATGACTCTATGAACATGAAACCACTCACACCCTGACAGCATGCTTGGCCTCTTGCAGTTTGCAAAGGCTGATAGGTCTCCTTCTCTTACAAAGCTGGGGGCAGAGGACCCTTTCCCCACCTCCTCTCCAGAGGAGAGGTTTATTTTGGTTTATCTCCAAGGCTGTTGCATGCTTGTTTAGATGAACTGAGTCTACAGCACCTCTTGAAGTCCTGACACAGGGTCCTGACACAGCATAAGCAGGGCAGTTCAGATGCAGCATGCTCTGCTGTAAACACACTACAGAAATAGGGAAGATCCTCAGATGACATTTTCAAGGTTGGTTTTTTTTGCTTGGAGGGCTTTAAAAAGTCATAGAATCATGAAGGTTGGAAAAGACCTCTAAGATCATCAAGTCCAACCGTCACGCCAACACCACCATGCCTACTAAACCATGTCCTGAAGTGCTACCTCTACATGCTTTTTGAACACCTCCAGGGATGGTGACTCCACCACCTCCCTGGG